AAACATTTGTCACACTCGCTCGGCAAGATATACAATTTCCTTCAGATCGATACACTCGTTGCAAGTGTAAATCTAATTATACTTTCATTAAGTGCTGATACACTTTTTATCATCAATGTTCGCGAAACTCGGATTTCAGAGAGTTCACGTTGACGATAAACTAATTAAAAAATTTGGTCGAGTAAATTGTTAAAAACGGAGAAGAAGACTTCATTTGTAACAAGGTGAATTCTCGAAATGATCGAAATAATTTATCGGTCAGAATAAGCGAGCTCTTTCGTTCGTCCAACGAATTGGAATATAATTTGCAGCGCATATTTCACTTTCTGGGGGAAATTCGCTCGAAACATGGGGAGGGAAAGAAAGAAATTATTAGTTCGCCAACTCACCGTGTCCTCCCGAATGCTTACCTGCAACACACAAAAACAATAATATTTTAACACTTTTGAAATGTCTTAACACTCTGTCAACGAAAAAGTTCTTCCTCGCAGAAACTAAATATTGTAGAACTTTTATTAATGACGAAATTAAATAACTAAATAGGCTACTAATCTACCAATAGGCTACATTCAACTGTTGGCTCGCGTCTCATAATTTACATAAAGTTACACTGCAAATTTTCGAAAGGCGACGTTTAGAAAGTTTATCGGACGCTCGACATAAGTTTCACGTTAATTTAAAAGTTTTTCAAGTTCACACTTGTTACATCGTAAACATATCTCAACGCATTTTTTCAGGATCTATTGATGTGATAGAAAAAGAAAATGTTAACGAAATTGAAACACTGAGAAATTAGATTTTTATTCTAAAAAGAATACTTCTTCAATCTGATTCGTCTCTTTAGTTAGTTCTTCGTTCGCCAATAGAGAAGAGGAGATTCATGTTTTCACGAGACACTCTATGTATATTTCAAGAAGAGGCAGAAGGAAAGAAAGTGAGATGATTCATTCGTAAAATTCTTTAATATTTTTATTATAATTCGTTCGTTAGAATGAATTCATATGGCGCGAAACTCGATCGTTTTGGAGAGGACGCGGTCGTTCAAGGTCCGCCAGTGAACTCGAAAACGCGGGAAAGCCGGAAAACGAGAGAGGAAGCAGCTGCGATCGAAACGAGTAGAAACGAGGTCGTCGTTACAAGTCATAAAGCGATCCTCCGGCCAGTAATTCACTCGCAGCCCGCGTTTCTAGATGCTTGTCGTCGTTGTGATACATGGCCGCAGCCAGCTCCGCAATTAGTATCTCGCGACAAACAGAGCTTTTGAAACGACCAGAACGTCGCTAAAGTAGATAACTTCACTGACCACCGCGTTTCTCCCTCCAATTAATTGTTTTAATAATACAACAGTTTGCAATTATCGATACAATTATTATGTTACACGATGCAGTTCAGTTTCCACAATTTCTTAAAAATGTCAATCTTTCACTTTCGCCGGTTCCTTTGTTGTGTAGAGGAAGCAAAATTTCGTCAACTTTTCGATGGCGTATTCAAACATTTAATTTTTATTTTTTATCATTTTTGTTAAGGTAATTTTGTAATTTTCTTGAATGCCTGTTCGCTGAGAACTACAAATTAAAATTCAAATTAAAACTTCAAACACAAAAAAAAAAAAAAATTCGTCCTTTCTCTCTGTAAGCCAGTTTCACTCGAAAGAT